CTGCAATTTTAGATGAGAGTGGGTTGGGAACAATGACTGGAGACTTCCAGGCATCACACCAGGGATCTGGGAGAGGATTTTGTAACAGGTGGAGTTTGGACGTCCCTGCAAATCCTGAAAATTACTTCATTTGCTATTTTTGTGGTGACCTCAGGCTTGTAGGGGGATGTGACGGGGTACACAAATTTAAGGCTAAGAAAACCTTGCAATAGGGACACTGGCTCAGTGATGAAATGTCTACCTGCTGGGATGAGCAGGAGTGTGACCCAGAGTTTTAAGGTAAAGTAGGAGACAAAAATGCATTTAAGACTGAGATGCCCAGCTTCACCCTGCTGTTAGTCGGTCACAGGGCATCGGCAGGTCTCCCTCCAGGACTTAGCACATTGCTCAGTCTTGACAGAATTAGGATCTTGGCCAATGTTGCTTTGAAAGTTTTCAGGGCAAAGAGTAAATTAGTGCATGAGAAGGAAACACACACAGCCTTGGGTCTACGCAGTGCTGGTCGCCGCCTGGTCAGAAAAGCAGGAAGCAAATCATGGAGCGCAGGTTTGGGTAACCTGGGTGAGTTTCACACCTTAGACAATTAGTAGTAATGGAAAGATTGTTGAGGTTGAAGATGAACCGAGATGATTAACGGATTAAAGAGAGAGATAATTGAGGCAAGAGTGAAATGGTTGAATGCAGACTGAAACCTCTGACCCCAGCATATGCCTTAGATATGCTGCATTCTGTGAAGAGATGAATCAGGCTCCTCCAAGATAAAGACCTGAGGGTTAGGGGGTGTGCTATACACAAAAAGAACGGCAGGACTTTGCTTTCATCCAGCTATATAGTTAGATCCACAGGGTTTTTTGTTTGTTTCCTTCTACTGATCCTTCTTTTTTATACTATATCCATAATATTCCTTTCCAAAAAGGAGCAGTTCTCTTTTTCATGAGATGGAGGTTTGCAGTTCTAGCTGGAGGAAAGCAGAGTCCTGCCATTCTTTTTAACTTTCACTCCGTGGTTGATTCACACTCTCAGTACCCTACCAACAGGGCTCCTCTTCACCCCCCATTGCATTTCTTTACCACGATGTAAATACTATTAACTAATTATTTAACTATATTTGTATTATAGGGATTTTAAAGTATTCCAGGAATACAGAAGTTCTTAATTTCATATTCAGCGATTTGATTAGTATTTACCATATGGATAATCTTGGAAGGAAACTATTACACATTTGTAAAGCATTATGTCATTAAATGCATGATGCTGACATCTATTACAGTCTTTCATACTATTGTGGGAAACTCCTACAGTTTCCTCTTTGTCCTCTGCAGGCTGGACTTTTTGGTGGTTATTGGGATGAACCCAGAGCCTCATGCATTCTCGTCAACCGCTCTGAGAGTGAACTATACTCCAGCCCTAGATAATTTTAGTTTCTGAACTAAACTGACAATAACCAGATAGCAGTAAAAAGAATATCCAAGTGCTACTTTAAGCCTAACACATGGGAATATGAGACCCAGAGAAGAGCAAGATGTCCTGTAGAGTCTAACAAAAGGACATGGCCTACTCTTCAAGCAGGGAGGAGGGCGTGCTCTAGAAGGCAGGCAGAGGGTGTCCCTGCAGGCCCTGGCTGCCTTATACTGCTGAGGCCTCCCAGGAGATGGTCACCTGTGAGCAGTTCCCAGATCCCTAACCTCTCTTTCCTGTGAAAAGACTTTCTCCAGGCATGGACAGACGGGGAATATCAAATGAGGGAAAGCCTATCCTATGTACTATGTATTAATGCAGACAGATGTAAATTTCTCACAAAAAGGTTGCCTCTCAGAGCCGTTCCTGTGTCTGCAGAATTGTGCACTGTCTCTGAAAAGCAAAAGTGAAATATGTCCAAGACATGTGTTTGGGTGAAATGCCTCACTTTCCCGAGCTATGATTTTCACTTGGGCTTGGCCTAGGGGAGCCGCACGGAATGAGCCTGGACTAGCAGTGTTCAGAGCTCAGGGACGCAGCTCTGCTCACTCTGACTTCCCGCCATAGGGCAGGCAAGGACGTGGCGCTTGCTGCATGACACAAACAGTGTAGGTCACTCGAAGGGTCCATGCGTCTGCTGTCCTGTGTGTCAGTCACACATTTATGGGGATTATGTAAACCTCACTATGTTTATCAGTAAGAACAACAAAAAAGTGGAAGGACTCTAGGAGGTCACTTGCAAATTGAATTTGTTTTAAAAGGCAGTATCGGCATTTTGAATAGGGAATTAGAGACTCCCACATAGTGCAGCTTGGAGGACAACTCCCAAGGGAAGAATGCCCATGGTGGAGAGGGATCTGCAGTTGCACTGAGCCAGTGAGGGGCAACTTCCCCGTGGAGAATAGAATTTAGTTAAGAAGGACAGGACAGACTCGGGCTTGTTTTCCGTGATAATTGTTGTCTTGGCCTTTGTTTCAGTTTTCCTTTGAGAGGAGCCTTGGCACGAAATGCTAATCTGTACAGGAGGGATGACAGCATGAGCCTTTAGAAAGCTTTTCCTACCAATTGTACAATAGAGAAGGGAAAAAGTAAGGATCTATGGAAAAACAGATTTATGTAGCACATGCTAAAGTTACCCAAACAAGGGTGATTCTTTCTGGATAAGCATTATTACCGGGAAAACATTTTAAGACAACTTCAAAAAGACTATAAACTTGGGATGCACTGCTTGAGTTGGAATTTTGGAGTTATATTCATGGAACTGGTGAGAACTGAACAAGTACAAAGTTTGAGATAATTTGGTGCTGGAGGAGACAGTCCACACTTGCTATGTCTTCACAGGAGAGTGGAGGATACATCTAAAACAACACTTCAGGACTCAGGAGTGTAGCAACTATGAACAGAGTTGCATTTAAAATTTAATTTTATTCATGGATATATTTTGGGACAGAGATTGAACCCAAATCCTTCACTTTAAGCCACATTCCCAGCCATTTTTAATTTTTTAAAAAAATTTTGAGGTAGACTTATTCAGCCACTGTCACTCAGGACTCAAACATATCCTGCTACCTCAGTTTACCAGTGTGCAGAGATTACAGTTGTGCTGCAGTGCTCAGTTCAGACACATTTTCAACTTTTAGTCTTGGCTTCTGGCCATTGAGAATGCAAAGAATAATTTTAAAAAGTAGTTATGAGAATAAATAAAAAAGCTATGAGATGACAACAACTATCTGGGCAGATAAAGTAGATAAAAACAGGTGGAAAAATATGGACTCCATCACAAATATGGACATGAAAGATAAAGCTTGGGATAAATCTTCCCCATATCATGAGCCAGAGGGCCAGGAAAATTCTATGCAGATTGGACAAGAGTGGAAGCTCTAGCTTAGAGTGTGGTGAGTGGACAAGGCTTCCTGGGATCTGGGTGCACACGCTGGCTCCAGTAGCCTCTCCTCTCCCCCTCCATCAGCAGGTGCTTAGGCAAAGACACAAACTTGCAAAGGGTACAAAGCTAACCTGATCACTCTCCCAAAACACTGGTATGCAATAGGAAAAGTAATGCATATGATGTACATTAAATTGAAAATTCTCAAATTAAACACACAATTTTAGCATGTTTGTCTATGTTACACAGACATTTTTGTTTTCCAAGATCTAGAAAAAAATACTAGGCCAATCTCTGTGAGTTGGAAAGAGAGAAAATCCAGAAAAAGAGGGAGAAAAAAGGAAGACAATGTCTTGATATCTGAAGAAGGATCCTAGAAAGAGTATAAAAAAGAATATGTGAAAATAGAGAATTATAAAGAAAATACAACAGCCTAACTGAAAAGTAGGAAGCATTTTGCCTTTAATTGTATTTATTTACTTAAAGATATTTATACAGTGAAAAACTATTTTGCAGGCAACTAGACACTTATTTAAATACTTTGCATAATGACAATAATTATGTAGCATCCTATAATAAAATATGAAAATATTCACATTTTTTAAAAAATAAGACACTGGTCCTGGTCATCTTCACAGTGGCCTGCGTGGGGAACATGGCCATGGTTCTCCTCATCTACTTGGACGCCCAGCTGTACACACCCATGTACTTTCTCCTCAGCCAGTTCTCCCTCATGGACCTCATGCTCATCTGCATCATAGTCCCCAGGATGGCTGACAACTTCCTATCTCACAGGAAGTCCATCTCTCTGGCAGGCTGTGGGACACAGATCTTCTTGTATGTGTCCCTGCTTGGAGCTGAGTGTTTCCTGCTGGCTATAATGGCCTATGACCGCTATGCTGCCATATTATTAAAAAATAATATGATGTATTAATTGCCTTGGTTCAACCAGCTTTGATGACTACTCACAGGTATTTGCATAGTGTTCTAGCACTTTCTTTAAAAGCCTTCTCCACAAAAGTGTCCTGCATCAGTAAGCCAATATCACCTCACCTTGATGACATCCTAGCGTTATGACAGCTCATTATTATTAACAATATTGTCATTCAGGGGTTTTCTGACTGCTGACTCCTCAAATTCTTGGAAGTTGTCTAATTGTGTCTTCTTTCCACTGGTAAACACTCCATTTTACACTCAATGGTAAGAATTTTCACAAGTAAAATAAAGAGAATGTGGAGAAATTTAATAAAAGGACTTTAAGGAAACTGCAACTGCTTTCTCAGAATTTATGAATATGATGATAGTTAGGATAATTGTGAAAGGATTAACCATGTTACAACTTGATTTAACTTGTTCTACAAAGTAGATTTTATATCTCTTGATAAACCTTCTCTGCTATTATTATAAAACCTAGTTTGTCTGTTAGATACACAATTGGCATTTAAAAATCACTTCAACATCAATACTAGGTTCATTGTCCTTAGTCTACAAAAAAAGAAGTCTGTATCTATATAAATATTTTTTCAAATTTACAGATATTTCTGAAGACACAGTGGTCTGAGAGAAATAAAAATAAATGAAAAAAATAAACATGATGCTTCTGTGATACAATCCAGCCCACATGTTACAGGTTCTCTCCACAGTGAATATATTCACCATGGCCTGGGAGAATCAGACTTTCAACTCTGACTTCATCCTCCTGGGAATCTTCAATCACAGCCCCTTGCACACTTTCCTCTTCACACTGGTCCTGGTCATCTTCACAGTGGCCTGCATGGGGAACACGGCCATGGTTCTGCTCATCTACCTGGACACCCAGCTGCACACACCCATGTACTTTCTCCTCAGCCAACTCTCCCTCATGGACCTCATGCTCATCTGCACCACTGTCCCCAAGATGGCTGACAACTTCCTGTCTGACAGGAAGTCCATCTCTCTGGCAGGCTGTGGGACACAGATCTTCTTGTATGTGTCCCTGCTTGGAGCTGAGTGTTTCCTGCTGGCTACAATGGCCTATGACCGCTATGCTGCCATTTGCCAGCCTTTAAGGTATCCCATCCTCATGAGCCAGAAAATCTGTGCCCTCATGGCAGCCTCCTCTTGGATTCTTGGCTCAATAGATGGAATAATTGTTATTATAGTTGCAATGTCCTTCCCATACTGTGGTGGCAGAGAAATACCCCACTTTTTCTGTGATGTCCCTGCCCTGCTCACTCTCTCTTGCAGAAACACCAAGACATTTGAACAAATAATGTTTTCCTGCTGCGTAATTATGCTTGTCTTCCCTGTAGCTATCATCATTGCTTCCTACACTCGTGTGATCCTGGCTGTCCTCCGCATGGGATCTGGGGAGGGTCACCACAAAGCTTTTGCCACTTGCTCCTCCCACCTCATGGTGGTGGGCATGTACTATGGAGCAGCCATGTTCATCTACATGAGGCCCATGTCCGAGCGGTCCCCCATCAGGGACAAGATGGTGTCTGCCTTCTACACCATCCTCACACCCATGCTGAATCCCCTGATCTACAGCCTGCGCAACAGAGAAATCAGCAGGGCCTTCCTGAAGGTGCTAGGGAGGGGCAAAGCTGCAGAGCAAATGGCCTAATTGTCATTGCTATAGACTCTATACTGATGAAATTTGAAAATATAACAAATACAATTCAGCATCTAAAACATACTCCCCTTTGTACTGGAAATCACTTTGTAGTTTATAACAAAACATTCAAAATTTAATAACTGTACACGTGAGGCAGATTAGGACATGGCACAGAGACGAGACAGTAGTGAGTGATCTGTAAACAATCGACAGCTTGGAAATCATGGGTGAGGTGCTTGCTTGAAAGTGTCTGATGGCCTGGATGTGAATTCAAAAGAGCGTGCAGAAGACAATAGCCAGTGACTTGACAGCCACTGCCCTCTTGGTCCTGCAGTGGCCCCTTCTGCCTGGAGGGCACACCTACTTTTCTAATCATAGTTTGTCCTCCTTCTCCACCTTCTCTTTCCTCTTTGGTGCTCTTTTCCTTCTTTGTCTTCCTTTTTTTTCTTCTTTTATATTTCTTTATTTTAACATAAATAAATATTGAATTTGTACATTTACTGGTTATCCCATCCATTTCTTGTCACCAAAACCTGGAAAGGACCATTCGCCATCATGCCACCCAAGAGCACACATAACTATCTGATAAATATTTTTTGGCTATAAAATTCAATGTGTGATTATAAATAAATATTTTTACTAAGAGGAAATATTTAGTTCTGTAGTAAGTATTTATAAATAAATACTTGTACTGAACTGTCAACTTTTAAAAAATAACTATATTCTTATCACACAAGAGAGAATTTCCCAAAAACAGTAACCCATCCTATGGTGTGTTTTTAACATACAGTAACTTTATTTTCAGCCAACCTATAATTTGTATGAGTTGAACTCTGTACATAACAGTGATCAATTTATTAGAACAAACAATGAAGTTAATTATATGGAAAGTTATATAGATGCTTATAAGATGAAAGCATTACTGAAAAAATAAACTTTTGCTTGTAAAACAGCTTTTCCTGCACCAGACACTGGGTTACTCGATGGTGCTGTGCCTTGTGCTACAGACATTGGTCTTCTTACACATTGTGACAGATCATTGATTTTGTCAATCTGAGTAATGCCCAACTAAACTGGATCAGAATAGTTCTGGGTGTGGAAGCCCCACCCTAAGAAGCATTTTCTCCAGAACACTGTAATAGGAAGTATTTCTTCTGTCTTCTTTGGAGGTACTCCAGTCTTTGCTTTCACCTTTCACTGTCTCCTGGCTTCCTGGAGATCCTTTGGCCTCCTGATACAGGTGCTCACAGGGATATGACACAAAATTCCAGATCTTTGACTGGATCCTTCTGACCCCAAGGGCACAGACAGAACTTTTGCATTCTTCTACATCTGGTACTCTGGATGGCCATTGTAAGCCAAACTTGTAAATACTTATATATTTGTATATCTTGCATTATATCTGTTTCTCTAGTAAATATTGACTGATACACACATGCATAATTAGCATGTGAATATAAATTTTATTAACCTAGATTTTCCATCCATAGATATTCTGATTCTTTTTTGTTTTTGTTTTTGTTTTTCTCCGGTACTGGGGATCAAACTCACGACCTTGGGTTGCAGGGCAGGCGCTGTGCTGCTGAGCTAAATCCCCAGCCCCTGGTATTCTGATTCTTATTTGAGCCAAACACTCAAGTTTCATGTGAATATAACCTTTTTCTAGAGATATCTAAATTTTCTAAAGTCCAGAAGGTTTCCTAGAAAACACATCGCAACTGCTCTCTTCAGACTCTGTTGTAAGTAGCCCAATACATTCACCTTATTTTGTTGTACTAAAAATTCCACAGACCTGGCACTCTACAGAGCAATTCTTTCTATGTCACACTTTATATGGGCCGTAAGTCTCAGCATAACTCCCAGATCCTCTGCTCAGAGTCTCACAGGGTTGCAAATCGCATGTTGTCTGAGGGTTTCATGTGGGGCTTGGTGTCATTTTCAGTTCTTAACTGTCTGGCCGATGTTCGTGACACACTTTTTATGTTTTTATGTTTAATCACTGTTCATGTTACCAAGTGGACTGTCATATGGAAAACATGTGGGTAAATGTAATGGTCAATGGCAAAATGGGAAAATGCCCCTAAATACAGCCTAACATTTCACACTTACGCATTTATTTAAAGTTGTGTATAAGGCAATGACACAAAGATACAAGCGGTATACAGAATCTAGTGATGATTTTAGAGGTAGCTAATGATAATGGAGGGGGCATTTTATGGATAAGAATGAACCTGTGAGTCTGCTACATTGCATAGATGGTGAGAAAGAGATTATTAAAGTGGATTTAAAAAGGAAAAAGACAAAGGGGTCCAGTGGGTACAGAACAAGTGAGGAGAGGCTCACAGTGGGGCCCTGAATATGCACGAGGGAAGTAATGGCTTCAATTTAGTGCCCGTTGTGCTTAAGATGTGGAAAAATAAAACAACATTCTTCTAGAATGTACTAAAAAGTACAATGATAGATTTCAGTTAAAACCTCAGGTCAGATACTGCAATGTAAAAGCACTCCCAATAAGGTGTTACATAGATAGAAACACTGATACAGATAAAAACACTGAAGGAGTTTATAGATTAAGGAGTAATATTTTTCATACAACTGAAGGTCAATATTACATAAAAGGTACGTATGTATTATATATGTACATATAATACATGTAGATATTTAATATGCATATATTCATATGTTCACAGCTGTCTTGGCAGTTTATAGATTGGAAACAATATGCAGAAAGAGAAATCCACACAACGTAGGTATAAAATTTTAAAAAGACTCCATGTAGAATTTAAATATTTTATTTTAACTTTTATTTAATTCTACTAAAATAGGTGGTACAAAACTTGATCTTGAATAAGTTACTAATATTATGTAACTTTTAGTTTGCAACTCAGTAGTTTATAGAGACAATAGCAACATTTTTGTTTTTTGAAATTACCGCTATTAAAGTCGTTGTCCAGGATGGGAAGGTAAATCAGGCCGTAGTGTGCTTGCTTGACATACACAAGGCCTTGAGTTCAATTTCCATCTTAAAGCAAAAAAAAAAGTCTTCACTTTGATCACCTAATTTTGTTAATTTTTGAGTGTATTTTGCCTTATATAAATTATTAGTCATTTAGATTCAGGAAGTGTGGGCTCATTTGTATGATCTCTTACACAGAAAACATGCTCGAAATATTTCTCAAATGCTCACATTTGGAAAAAATAGTGGCAAACAAAAATTAGTTTGGTATGACATAAATGTAAGAATGCAAGTAAAACAACAAGTGGATTTCAAGATATTAAACCTTGTTTAATTTCCAGTTGGGCTTAATTATAGGCTTATTTTTGAAATACATCCATTCTAACAAGGTGCTATATCTTGACTATGAACTTGATTTAAGGAAATGAGGGATAAACAGGATGCATAAACTGTTAGTCAAACTGTCCACCGGGAATTGAGAAAAGTCATGCATTAATAATATTAGAAATGAAAAAGTCTAAGCACCACAAACATCACTGAAATCCAAAAGATTATCACCAGGTCACCTGAAAAATCACACTCCAATAAAATGGAGAATCTAGAAGACATTAATAAATTTCCAGATTCATGACTTACCAAAATTGACTCAAAAAGATATTAAAAACAAAGAAAAACCTTGGACCCAATGGAAGTTCTCAATTTTAATGGAACATTTGAAAAATAATAAATCAATGGTCCTCAAGAATTTTCGTATAATTGAGAAGAGCATGAATCCTTATAAATGCATTCTATGAAAACACCACCAATTATCCTGATTCCTAAAAGCATTAGGAACCTCTAATATACATAAATCCATAGATGGATAAAATCCATAAATCCATAAATCCATAATATTTATATACAATGTAAAGTGGAAACAAAGTTAAAATCATATGGTCATCTCAGTAGACATTGAAATACCTTCAACCAAACCTAACATCTAAGCAGGATAAAATCCTAAGGAAAAAAAAATAGAAGGACTCTTCTTCAAACTGATAAATAAATTTTAAATCTGATAAACAATTTCAATACATTAGAATATAAAAAATCCAGACAAAAGTCAGTAACGGCCCTCCACAATAACAAATCTACCAAGAAAGAAATCAGGATAACAGTTCCATTTACAGCATCTTTAAAAATTAAATACCTGAGAATGAACCTAAGCAAAAATGAGAAAGACCTCTTTAAGGAAAATTACATAAGAGCCAAGAAAGAAATTGAAGAGAACATTAGAAAACGAAAGGCTGTCCTTTGTTTTTGGGTTGATAAAATTAATATTGTTGAAATTGGCATGTTATCAAAAGTGATCAACATACACAACGGAATCATTAATAAAATGCTAAAATATTTTTCACAGAACTAGGAAAAACCCTAAAATTTATGTTGAATCAGAAAAGTACTAGAACAGCTAAAACAATCCTGAAGGAGAAAAATATTAAAAGTAGCACAAAACTAGATTGGTAGTTACAATACAAAGCAAATGTAATAATAGAAACAGTGACAAAAATGATACTGACGCAAAAACAAACATATGAAACAAATACATACACCTTCAACATTCTGATTTTTGACAAAGGGAACAAAAACATAAATTGGAAAACAATAGTTTAACAAACGTGATGAGACAAAGCTCATTCTAGATTAGAATGGGCACTATTGATTGGGGTCCAAAATTGGTTAATGGGGTTAAAATTGAGACAGAGGTCCGGCTTCCATCACAATAAACATTTACAGTTGTGATAAAGAGACCTGTGACATTTTGCCTAAAAACAGAAAATGTTGACTTTCAACATCAGAAATGAATTATTAAGGAATAATACAGAATCTAGATCACAGGCCAAAATACCAACACTATGTACAATTCAAATTCTAGGCTCCAAAAATGTAAACTGCTGGAAGAAGTTGGATCTAAGATCACAGGAGTTTTGAAGTTGTCATTTTCCATTACTCAAGGGGAGATAATAGACTTGTGGCAAGGCAGATGGAATGACTGGATTAAGCATCAGTTCTTTCA